ATGAGAGGAAACAGGAAACCTAAATAAAGTAACACTATTGCAATAGTGTGTGTGTGTGTGTGTGTGTGTGTGTGTGTGTGTGTGTGTGCGCAGCAATCAAAGTGCCATTACAATGCCTGTGGGCATTATCACTATGTCGGTATATTCTCCTGAGGTGCTTGTGTGGGAAGGCACAGGCTGAGACACTGTGTGGAAATTAGTGTTAACCCAGAGAGCCGCAAGATGAAGCTCGTACAGTGGGCCTCATGCAAGAGCTTGTTTGACGTGCTTATACAGGCCATCTTAATTCAGTCCAATAGTTCTTTACAAAATCACAATCTGCACATTAAAAAAGAATACATAAATAAATGAAGAAGAAGAATTTAAGCTCCTGATGTTGGATATATCCAGTACTAGCAATCCAAAAAACTGTGTAATAACAGGAGGTTTTTGATATAGCACAGGAACCATTATTTCCCTCCGGTTTATTGTATATGTAGACAGTTATTTGCTGTTATTTTTAGTAGTAATATACATGTTTAAACTCACCATCTGTTTAGAACTCATTTTTATGCAAATAATCTATTTTTATTTAAAGTGGACATCCTGTATGACGCCTGTGAAGGCACGCGGAAGATATTTAAATTGGTTGTTGTTGATCTAAGCTGAAGACAGATTCTGCAGCTCCAGAGCTCTTATCCCACCTTAAATATTTTCAAGAACATTTTGGATTACTGGATCACACACAAGAATATACCTGTGATGTAAAAGAGGATTTTTTTTCAGGCAAACTGGCAAAGTGGTTCCAGTTTTAAATCCAAGAACAAACGGCCTGTGCGAGGCATTTGGTGTTGGTGTGATCCCTCGCCTGCAACACCACCCATGACGTGTGCTGTTAGATTCCAAGAAGAAATACTTTGGCCTTTCTTACATGACTACCTGACGCTCGGCTGCAGGTTTATTTTGGTAGGCACGGCTAAAACTAGCAGTCCTGCAGTAAATCCAGCTTTCACAGTGGGTTTCTACTGTTTTGTCGCCTTTTAGTGATCTTACTGGGGCAAAATAATAAACGCCTGTCACTTTGGTGCCTAACACTTCCACAGAATCACCACCTTTTTATGGAACCACTTAATCAGAAATTACAACCTTCATGAAGGTAGGATTTATTGCAGGATGTCATATAGAGCATTAGATCTAGTTAAGTGTGTATAATCATAAACTGGCAGCTGAGTTTCTGTTCCTTCAACTGCAGTCATGCAGCTGTACGGGTGTGGGGGAAAATGTGCATGCACCTGCCAAATTGTATAAATTGTCATCTCAGATTATGGTAGAAAAGATCTGCTTTAAGCAAGTGGTTCTTGCATGAGGCCCACTGTCACAAATTCAAGTGTTGATACAAGAGTCTGCATAGTAACAAATGTGTTCTTTAACTGATTGCATAAAATGTGAAACTTTAGTAAAATACTGAGCGATGCTTCTTCTCGGGCTCCACGATTGTCGTCCAGTGGGATCAGTGTGCAAAGCGCCAACAGAATGAAGAAATTAGTTTAGGCTGTGTTTAGAGGAATCAATACTGTAGCATTTAAACGGCCTGGATTCAAACATCTCACTATTTACAGACAGAAATGAGAACCTCCCGCGCGCAGTAAACAATTTTTTTGGATTTTCACATCCTTGAGACCTCAGACACAGAAATGACCATGTTTGTGCATTCGTGTTCAAATATTGTATACTAATGATTTAAAAAAGGGGAAAAAAGAAAAACTTGCTTAAAAAAATGTATTTGTAACAGCGGTTTAAGCTACAAATGTTTTTAAGTGATGTTTTGTACATTGATATTCTACAAAGTCTTGTACAGGAATTCAGAGCTCACTTTTTTATTTATTTGTTCAGGTCCTTTGTGATTTTTCTTCTTCCTCTAAACTGACATCAGCTTTGTATTAAATTGGACTCTGGTGTAGTGTTTTAATAACTAGCATGCATTGTAACAAACTAGGAATGCCTGTTAATGCAGATTTTGGATGTTTGTTTTAAAAAAAGCAAAAATAAATAAAACAAAAAAAGAGAAACCGGCGCTTCACCTTGAAAGGGACCTTTTTCCCCCCCTGTCCAGTGGTTGGATTAGAGATGAAAATATTTAACATCTGCTTTGTACATTTCTCCCCCCAAGTAAGAACTACCCTGTACAGTAATGCACTGTTAATTAAAATGTGTTTATTGCACTGCTGTAGTCATGTAATAATTTTAGTTCTGATAGTTGCTGGGTTGTGTGTGTTTTGTTTTTTCTTCTTGATGTTACGTTCATTTGTGCTGTTTTCAAATCAGTAGTGGCCACTAGAGGGAGCTAAAGCGCCTTTATATCTTCTTGTATTTTATTTCTACATTTACCCTAAAATAAAGTTACCAGTTTACGCTTTTTGCTAAAGATGGATGCTCCCTGCCCACTTTGATAGGTACATCTGATTAACTACTCATTAATGCAACTATCTAATCATACAGTCACGTGTCAGCGACCCACTACATTCGGGCATGAACACATGGTCTACGTGGCCTATTGAAGTTCAAAGTGAATGTCATCAAGATGATTCTAAGTGACTTTGAATGTGGTGTGGTTGTTGGGGCCAGGCAAGTTTTTTTTTTAGAAACTGCAGATGTGCTGGGATTTCCCCCACACACAACCACCTTTAGCGTTTACACGGAATACAGCAAAAAAGAAGAAATATTAAATTAGCAAGAAAAAAACTCTTGTTGATGCAGTAACTCATTTAGCACTTGTTACAACCAAGATATGCAGAAGAGTATCTTTAGTAGAGGCGAAATGTTGAAGCAGATGGGCAACAAGAGCAGAAACCCACATCATTTCCCCTCTCTTGCTCTGATGATTCTTAATTTATGCTGCTAAATTTGTGTGGTGGGGTCAGAATCTCATGTAAGCAAGAAATCCTGCTTTCTATTTATGTCCAGGCTGCTCGTGATGCTGAAGTGTATACTTTGAGCCCCAACTGAGCATCCTTTAAACTCCACATCCTACCCGTGCGTTCTTTCTGACCATGTCCATCTCTTAATGACCAAAGTGTACCCATTTTCGACATTATCCTGATTTTAGCGGAATAACCTGTAGGATGTTGAGCTTAAATCGTCTCAAACCAGTTTCCTGAAAATGACAATGAGTTTGCAATTCTCCGATGGCCTCGGCAGTCACCAGACCTCAATCTAATAAGGCATATTTGGAATGTGGTGGAACCGGAGATTCATATCATGGATGTGTAGCTGACAGTGAAGGTGTGATCAATAAGGACCCAAATGTCTGAGTAATGTTTTTGAATCTATGCCATGAAGGATTAGGACATGGCAAAAAGAGCTTCAGCCCAATATGAGCAAAATGCACCTAATAAAGTATGTGTGCGTGTAGATACTAGTGTGCAATGTCTCGTTTTTATTATCTTTCTAGTGTGTTTTTCAGTGAGGCAAAAGCAGGTATGTCATTTACCGACCACCCATGATACCTCCCAACACATCTAATTTCCTGGCTAAACCCAGCAGGTGGATAAGGTAGACCACTGTTTACACTACCGAGAAGTATTGTGTGGGCTTACAAGAGTATTAAGACTTGGCAAACACAGGCCTAAAAAACACAGACTTAAAAAAGAATCTGTGAAGATATACAGCTGCGTCACCAGTTTCTCGTTGGAAGAAAACAATATCTTTCAAATATTGCAGATGGAAATTTAAGCAGTTAATAGGCCTCTAAACTTTTCTGCTTAACACCCGACGTTAGATTGTAACCAGAAACGCACGTCAAAGACAGGAGGATGATAAGTTTGTGATTCAGTTTGGACGGAAAGAAAGTCACTGCGGTAACTTCCTCTCTTCCCTTCTTCTCCCGAATATTACCACAGCATGAGTTTACAAAAATGTCAAGGTTACGCAACACTAATCGAGGTGTGGCTGAAAAATAAGGAGGCTGTTCCTGCTTTGTCTGGCGTGAGACCAGGAGCGTTATTTAATAACCATGCCTTCTTATCGTTTGAAAGTCATACGATAACAGACCGCGTGCTTGTATTCTGACGGGTTTATGGGTTGTTGATTGTTAGGACCGGGCAGGGATCTTCTATTGTGATAGGTGAAGAAATGTCCGCTTATACAGTTTGATCTATTAACTCATCTTCTACACATTGAAGAAATCTCCTGTTAAAGTTTTAGCATTTACGCTCTCATAGTTTTCCTGAAAATAAAAATGGGTCTGGAGTCTTATGGGTTAATTTAATATAAAGCCTCATTTTAAATTGTTGCTAGGGGCGCAAATATACACTAACTGCAGTAATCACATTAACTACGTAAAGATTACTTGAAGTGTGCCTCTGTAAAGTCAGCGCTCACATGCGTTGAACATGGTTGCTGACAGTGGTTTTATTTTGAAAGTCTCGCTTGGATGTGCCGCGTGAGTTCTCGCGAGCTTCACACCGGTGAGCGCCTCTGAAAGTGATGAAAAAAACTCTGGCCACTGCCACCGGACACCAGAGGATCCTGTGTGCGCGCAGGTATGTAAAATTAATCTTGCTGACGCTTGCTTCTGTTTTACTCTGTTGGACGAAACTTCTGAGATAATTTCAAACTTCAGTGGAAACTTAAAACTTAATGGGAGATACGTTCTCGAGGTTATACTCGTTTGGTTTAGGAAGTAGCTTTGGAAGTTCACTCATTACCTGCGTTGTTAAATGAAGACAACGCCACAAGAAACGCCACTTTTACCTCAAATTTAACACAAGCAGCGATGTTAAGAAGAAATTAGCCAGGCAGAAGTCTGCTGCAATGATTTGTATTTGGTTACTTGTGTGTGCACAAATCCGCACAGCTCTCATCACAAATTAACAGGCTATTTATCTCGTCTTGATGCAGTAGTATTGTTATAAAACAGTGGAGCTTCTGTCCTTCTTTCTCTGTTTATCTATTAAGGTGGGCTTCAGGACACAAAA